AATAACATCCAAACTAGTGTACGACTGCCTCAACACCCTAAACGGTCTTGGAAGCAAGAACACAGTATTACTGGACAGGGTGCCGGGGCACGAGGGCCATGAGGGCAATGAACAGGCGGACCGCCTAGCAAAACACGGAGCTACCTCACTATTCCATGGCCCGGAACCCTTCTGCGGGCTCACCAAAGCCCACATAAGGGAGGTCATAAACAAGTGGGTCGACAAAAAATTCGAAAGGCACTGGAATGAAAGTCCGGGGCAAAGACAAGCTAAGCGGTTCATCTGTCCATCACAAGAAGCTTCAAAAAAGCTCATAAATCTAGGCAGGGAGGACCTTCGAACTCTCACTGGGTACTACACGGGACATTGTTCCCTGCGTTATCACCTCAGTAAAATGTATCTTTCAGACACGAGCGTCTGTCGCTTCTGTGAGATGGACGAAGAAACGCCAGAACACATCCTTTGTGAATGTGTTGCTCTCGCTAGACGCAGACTCGCTCACCTAGGTGGTACAACACTTAATCCATTCGAAATATGGAACAAAAAGCCCACCGAAGTGCTAGCTTATATTAAAAACCTTCATATATAGGGTAAAGGGCCACGCACAATAGACCACCCTAGAGGTCGCAGTGGTCAAGGCTCATAATAATAATAATATCTCGACAGCCAGTTCGAAAACGGCCTATCTCAGAAAATTGTTTACCAACGCTCTATCTCAGAAAACTTTTCAAGAACGCCCTATCTAAGAATTTGATTGAAGAACGCCCTATCTCAGCTGCCCATTCAAAAACGCCCTATCTCAGCTTATTTTCAATGTATTTTCGTTTGAGATAGCGCGTTTTTGAACCGAATTCTGAGATAGGGCGTTATTCAGCCAAACTCTGAGATAGGGTGTTTTTCAATAAAAGTCTGAAATAAGGCGTTTTTCAATCAAATTCTGAAGTAGGGCGTTCTTGAAAAGTTTTCTGAGATAGGGCGGTTTTGAACTGGCTGCTGAGATAGGTTGATCTTCCACTCAGCCATCGTAGATATGTAGAAATATAGATTTACCATGTAAGATTTATATACATATGTAGTATTTGTACAGAGGAAAAAGCAACATTTTTGTTTTGCAGATCTTTGGCTGTATCACATTCGCACGAACGTAGCAATGCTTTGCTCGATATGAAACAAAAACAGGGACAGCCTATAGCGGTGCAGCGATGTTGTTGATATATATGTACAGAAACAAAGGGAACATTTTCTTTGCAGATCTTCCGCTGTATCGCTGCCTACATGCACACGAACGTAGCAATGCCTTGATCGATATGAAATAAAAACGGAGACGAAAGCGAATAAATGGAAAAATTTTTCATTCTCTTATGTCCCGCGAGACGTTGCCTATAACGTATGCGGAATGAAATACGAACTGATGCAGTAAAAAAGAAACAGCTATACTTTCGGATGAAACAAATATTGTTTTCCCACTTACATAGATATTGTCGAAATTTCCAAGAAACATTTTTATAGATAAGACTCATGTCCTTAACGATTGGCCTATTTAAGTTTTCAAGCATAGTGCGGAGGGCTTTTCCAAAAATATTATTTTGGGACTTTATTGTGCCAATTTGAGTTATTATTTTTTTAGCCATTTAGATGGTAATTAGTTCAGAGTTATATTTAGGTGTCCTTTTATGGGTCCCCAACAGGGAAGCCAATTCGTGCGGAATTCCCCGATTTGCGGGGAATTTCAGTTTGTGTGGGGAATCGGAGAATGGACCGTTTTTTGTGGGGAATTTCAGTTTACGTGGGGAATCGATGGATGAATCGATTTTATTGTGAGGAATTAGGTGTGACTTATTTTTTTTTTTCTTTTCTGCTTCATTAATTTCATAATAAGTTAAAAGACTTGCATATGAAATACAACTGCAACTAAAAGTGCTGATTTTGCAACTCTGCCAATTACGCAAATAACGGTTTGATTTTTTAGAATTTTCTTTGTCGCATTTGTTTTTCTATAGTGAACAAAACAGTTTATTTCTATATGGAAGAAAACTGCAACCAACACCAAACAAAATTCTAAAAGGAAAATTTTTAGCTACATGAAACTTGCACTTTATTATACTAGAACTGAGAATGCTACAATACTGCATACCCAAAATCTTTCTAGGGAATCGAATTAAAAAAGCTCGAAATTTTTACGAAAGTTTGCTGATTTTTTTTTAATATTGCAGAAAGTTTGAAACTTGGATTTATACGATTTTTATTGGAGAATTAACTACATTTTTATAAAAAAATAACTCAAATGGAATAACAAAAAAAAATTATAATTGTGAAAACTTGTAAAAATTTGGTGCGACTAAAATTTGTTCGACTACTGTATGTATGTAAGTATTATAATTACATTTTTATTCTTTATTTGTTAACTAACTTTACAAAACTTTGGCTTGGTTTATGAGGACATAGATAAATTATATATAGAAATAAAATAAACAGAAAGACCAGCAATATATCAAAATACAAATTTTTTTTTTAATAAGGAGATATCTATGGGTGGGGAATTTTACGAAATCTCGGGTGAAATCGGGGAATTTCATAGTCGAAATCGGGGAATTCTAAAATATGAGTTGGCTACCCTGGTCCCCAATGAAAAATATTTCCCTAACCCGTTGTACAAAACTGAAATGAATGTGGTGGCAGCAAATTTTGGGAAAGCGCTCATAGCCGCTGGTTAAAAATTATTATTGTGTAGTGTATTTTATTTTTGTAAACTGAATGAAAAATATAACCACATAACCACATAAGCTTATAACTAGGCAAGCGTGAACAACCTCAATATTTATTTTGGTGAATTTTTTTTTAATAATATTTCAAAATATTTTTTTTGTTTTGGGAGAACCATACAATTATTTATAACTAGGTTTTGTTATGTAACATTTATTAACTGGAGCAGGAGAATACATTTTCTTCAAAATTGCTACTTTCTCTGCATTTTGCACTAAAACATTTAACATAATCAAATTAAAATTCAGAAATCAGCCTCAATTATATGTAAGTTTTCATAAACAAAATAAAAATAAATAAAAAAATAATCAAATTAAGTAAAAATGAAGTGAATGAATGCCAGTTTTGAACCACTATGCAGCAGGGGGTTTATTGTTCCCTTTCAGTGGAACTGGAAACTCAGCGTGCAAAACGATCCTGGGCACAACTTTCCCTGTGCTTTATAGATTGTACAAAGATTACCGATTAAATAGAAACCCTTAAGTTGGGTGCGACACAAACTGGCGAAAGTTTTCATTATATTTTATAAGGTACGTTTTTTTTCATATTCTGCGTTTAAAAATTTACCTCTGAAAAATACAGAGCCGATATAAAGGACAGTTTAAGAAATAAAGGACAAAAGGCGTCGTTTATTTTGAAAAAATTATAAAGGAAGGGGGTTAAAATAAAGGACTCTCCTTTAAAATAAAGGACGGATGGTCACCGTAATTATACGCTGTGATTTTGCAGAGAGATCAAGCAATTTATGATTCTTGTTACGGTCTCATTGCGCTGCTATGTGAAACATGTTTTTTCGCACTCGTGGGTTTTCCTTCTAGTGTTTTCCTATTCTTTAAAGCCGACATTTCCTTTGTAAATAAAGTTTTTTTTTAAGTCCCATCGACAAAAATATTAAAAAGCACGTTACTTTTCGTGACATTGTAATTTCGGTATACAAAATTTACAAGCAAATTTTTAGAGTTCGTTCGTTTTCAAGGAAATTATTTCAGCATTATACTATACAATGAGGTAATTTTTAGTGGAATGATTGTTAAGATTGCGCAGTAGATTTTGGTATACTTAGTTTGGCTCCTGTGTTTACCAAAATTTTTTAAAATCTGCTTAGAAATTGTCCGCATTTCATTCCGCATACGTTAGAAATGAACGTAGCAATGCTTTGCTCAAGGTGAATTTTCGTATTTCTGAAATTTACCGTTATATGGTGGGTGGCGGTCCGATTTCAAAAATTTTCAACATATCGCTTTTTTGAGCCTAGGTTGATAAATGTACCGAGTGTAGTAGAAATTGATAAACCAGTTACCGAGATACACATATGTAGGCATAAGTGGGCGGTGCCACGCCCGTTTTCACAAAAATTTCCCTAAGTAGCATTTTGTGCTGAGAGGTCATTGTATATATCGATTTTGTGTAAATTAACTTACGTATTTCGGTAAATTACCGTTATATGGGAGGTGGGCGTGGTTCTGTCTGATTTCAAAAATTTTCAAAGGGTTTATTAGGGAGGCTCTAAGTAATGTTCGTACCGAGTTTGGTGGGGATTAGTGAAGGTATTACAGAGATACAGCATTTCATCTTAAGTGGGCGGTGCCATGCCCATTTTCAAAAAATTTTATAACTGTGTTATTTTATGCCAAAATTCTACTTCGCGTACCAACTTTCAAAAATTTGAATCCAGTATTTACAGAACTATCGCAGTTTTTGCATATTTCGAAAATACCGTTATATGGGAGGTGGGCGTAGTTATTGTCCGATGTCGCCCCTTTTCAAAACTTACTTACCAAATTTCGTGGACATATCTCATTTTTTCTCTAGTTATCGTGTACACGGACAGACAGACGGACGGACGGACAGACATGGCTTAATCGATTTCTCTTTTCATTCTAAAAATTTATGTATACATTTGTCTATATCTATCTCGATTCTTTTTGGCTGTTACAAACAACCGTTATGCGAACAAAGTTATAATACCCTTGTGTACAAGTGCGCTCGGGTATAAAAACTGCTGAAAGTGTGCGTATGCTGTGCAGTGACCATTGGAAATACTTACTACTACTGAAAAATAAACCGAAAATACTGCTGCAGGATTGTATCAGTTTTCTTTACATGTACAGGGTGTTCTGTAAAAGTATTCAATGAGTAAAGGGGGGTGATAGGAAAGTCAAGACGCCCAACAACGTTAAGGGGGGAGGGGTTCAATATAAAAATTTGGAAAGTTGCTAGGAGAAAATAGTTGTCAGTACATTTAGAAAAAAGTTCTCTACTTAAGGGTAAGTTCTGGTAAAAATTTGCAAATAAGTTTTTAAGGCAGTAAAATCGTAAGACTTTTTTGTCAAACTACATATGTATATGTACGTATATATCGCATTACTTTAAACAAGTCTTGTAAATATGTATGTATATATATCCAAAGTTTTCTAGGACACGACTCTTAACGATTTTGATGGAATTTTGTATTCAGATAATGTTTTCAATTTTAAGGGTATCTGGAGATATTTGTACGTATTCGAAATTATTTATAATTATTAATACTAAGAAGGCACAAAAGATGGACTAAAAAATTTAATATAAAAGACATTTCAAATAAAACAAACTACTATATACTATAGTCGGCCGCTGTGGTGTAGTGGTAAGCAGTGCGCGCTTCCACTCCGCAGCACCTGGGTTCAAACCCTGGTCAAAGCAACATCGCAAAAAATATAGAAAAAAGGTTTTTTCTTAACAGCGATCGTCCCTCGGCAGGCAATGGCAAACCTCCGAGTAGAGGTGGGTAACTCAACTCAGAGTTGAGTTATTGAGTTGATTCCTATAAGAGAATCGGTAACTCAGACTCCCTGTCCAAAAAAAATGTAACTCAGTAACTCAGTTGATGCCGTAGGGCTCACATGAATCAATTGA